TGCAAATATGCGAGCACAGGATGTTTTTCCTGTACCATGAGGACCATAAAACACATATAGTAACCCAACCTTCTTCCTCGAGACAGCATTTGAAAGAGCTTGGGCTACTAAATTTTGTCCCACCAAATCTTTAAACGTTCGTGGCATGTATTTTTGTGTTAGACTCTGATGTCTAGAACGATGATGGCCTCTTGTTCTTCTTCGGTTACTGCATCTTGCTTCTGAAGCAAGGTCAGAATCAACTTCATGTTTAATATAATTATCAGCAAATATTCCCAATTCCCCAGAGTAATCTCGTTGCCAGCCTGCATTTTCAATGCTTTCGTGGGACCCGGATGCCTCAACCAGTAAAGGTAGTGCTTCGGCATCAAATTTTGCAGATGAGCTTGAGTGATCAGATGCTATGGGTGTGCCAGAAATACCTCTCCCACGTGCAGTTGGACTGCACTTTCTTAACATCGAGTCTGAAATGCCACAAGAAAAACTCCTTCCAGCCATGTCTAAAAACGTTTTGCCCCTATGATGAATTCTTGACCAAGTCCAAGGCATACCACACCCATTTCTAGGTCCACCAATGACATTTTTGTTGGCATAATTTTCATTTTCCTCTTCCATTCTATGCTTTGAATGAGCGGAACCATAAGCTAATGTATTAGAAGCTACAGACAATTCATTTTGAACCCCAGTGTCTCTGGAAGTTAAATTCATACGACTTCTCCTTGTACCTCGAAATTTTCGCCTTTTAACCCTATTCAATCCACTGCAGTTTCCACGAAAGCTGGGTTCAGGTTCGTCAATGATTTTATCCTGCTGACATTGTCTCCCATATACATTAGCACTTGAAGATGCAATATCATCACTATCGATTGGAGCAGAATTCAGTTGCTCCGACAGTGTCTTAAATGGAATGCCCCTGACCTGCTTATCCTTCTGTTCACTCTTTCTATCTTTAGATTCTGATTTCCTCGAAATAGCCTCATGCAGAAGATGCCCATCATGAACAGGTAAAGATTCTTCATTTCCATCCAAAACACTGTTTCTATCACTCCTCCTACTCGACTCTTCTCTCCGAATTCTTCTACCATCTCGGATTTCACTCTTAACACTGTGCTCACTAACGGCTCTCACCCCATCCGTGCCCACATTCACCTCAGCTGGAGCGACTTTTGATGTTGCAAAACTCCCCATGGGTGGAGAACTTCCAGAAATTGTCCTACCTACCCTTCGACTCTCAGTTCCTACCGACCTTCTTCCTTCACGAATCACAGCATTATTTTCGCCCATCCTTGATGGAAGATCAGTAATGGAGGGAGACTGCCATGAGGGAGGACTTGCAGAGGGGTCCCTGAGAGATCGCGACCTCTGAAGGACAATGAGATCCCTCATAAGGGACCTGTCAGCCAAGATAGGACTGTGCTTGTGCATATGATTCTTCAAGTGAATGCAGTTTGTCAAGTGAATGTGGTTACGTAGATGATCGCTAATGTCACCATTTGCCTCCTTGAGAATCCTATCGCGCACAGCTCTAGTCATGATGAGAACATAAATGCATTTGGTCGGGAAATTTTTTGACAATTAAGGAAACGAATCGAAATATATCGCATTATCAATCAGGCAACGCGAGGTCAAATCTCCGCAATTATGACGAATGAATTCCAAATATCCCGCAATTTAGGCAAAAAAAAGTCCTTCCATCTAAAGAAGGAAAGTTATATCCTGACTCTATTTAACGAGAACCCATTTCAAACAATTATATCCTAACCTCCTCAACTTTCCGCCAAGTATAAAATGAGACAAAAAGAAAATCCATCGCCGAAGCACCAGAAACCAGGGTCGAGCAAACCATGAAGCTTGTAACTAAAGATTCAAGCTGAATTAGCAGCAATACCAAATGCTACTCAAACCGAATCTTAATTAGCAGCAACGAGCAAACTCCAATGCATATTGCGACAAGCTCAATCCAGCTTCAGCAAGCAAATCCCGGAACAGGGGAAGAGAAAAAGGAACCCATCTTTCGAAAAACTGCGAGAATCAAAACCTGACTAGCAGTCCCCCTGGAACCCCTAAGAAGAAATTGCGGTCAGTCTCTGTCAAAACGGAAGAGACAAAATGAGGAGGAAAGCGAAAGAAGATAGAGAGGATATTGAAAAGGAAAACACAAAGGGTAGGTTAAAGCCAAACTGTTGGGGAAGACGCAAAAAGCAAAAGGAAAGAGAAGAGGAATCACCTGAATCAGAAGAGAGGAAAAGCAGAATCCCGTCTGCCACTTGAAAAATTAAAAGCCCAGATCTCTCAGCAAGCTTCCCATGAAGCTCACGAGGTCCCCTTCCACCCAAAAGCGATATCCCAGTCGCAAACACAGAAAACTCCGCTAGAGAGAGAAACAAGAGAGAGAAGCAAAAGAGTGTAAGAGAGTGGGAAGTGAAGAAGAAGAGGGGTTGGTTGAAGTATGGGGTGAGATCTGTTAAAGGCAGATTCCCAGGTCACCTCTCGCACCCGTTGACACGTCAGCAACGAATCCATGTGTCCGTTCCAGACCCCAAAATAGCCCTTTACATCAAAAAAAAAATAATAATAATAATTACAATATATAAATTTAAATTGTTTTCAATTATAGTAATTATTTACTTTTTTGTTGAGCAATAACAATAAAAGAAAAAAGGTTAATTTTAATTTGGAAAATTAGCCCCTTTGTACCGCCACCGCCGTCCCTTTCGTACCAACTACGGGAAAGTGAAAGGCTAAATATCCAAAACCCACCGCTGATTTTAATAAATTATATGGTTCAATTTCAGTAAATTATTGTCCCCAACGTTTACCTTATTTACGCACGCTGACCCAAGATTTTATACCGTTGGTCCATATTTTAAATTTTTGGCCGCTTCCCCACTTCTCTTGCTCCTAACACAGACAGCTCTCTTATTCTGAAATTTTAATTACCTGTGACGTAAATGTCCAACTTTATAAATTTTTTTCTTTTTTTGTAACTTGTATGAGAAGTTTATCCAACACTATAAGCGTTGAATGTACGTTTGTAGCAAGCTTAAATGTGTTTTGTACTCGAAGCTACGAGTTAAATAAGAGTATGGTGAGTTAATGGGTAGAAGGGTGCGTGGTGGTGTGGTGGTGTGGGGTAACAGTGGACAAAAGGGGAAGGGTGGCCCATGCACAAGGAGCATGTCTCAGAATCCCCAAAGCCAAACACATGAAACAAACCCTGTCCACTCCCATTTATCTTCTTTTTTTTTTTTTTTTTTTTTAAGCCTGAATTATAAAACTTGCTTCTCAATTTTATATAATAAATAAATAAAGTCCTTGTATTCTTCATTCTTGAAGTAAAATGTTAACTTTTATCTAAAATTATAGGTGAGATCTCAAGTGTGGAAACCTCTACTTAATACATACGTTTTAAAAATTGTGAAGCTGACTAAGATATGTAATGGATCACAACGAACAATATTTGTTAGTGGTGAGTTTGAAGTGTTACAAATGGTATTAGAGTCTGACACTGAACGGAGTATTAGCGAGAACGATAGACCTTCAAAAAAAAGTAGCAGGGGAAAGATAAAATCTCTCCCACATATACATTTTTTTTTTTAAGGCAAGAAATGGCGAAGTTTGAAGAAAGGACTATTTTGCAATTTAGCCCATTCTTTGCAATTTCCATGTCGTGCACAGTTTCCCATTTTTCCCTACCTCGTATTAATGTCTCTCGTCTTGGAATTCAATGCCTTTTAATTTCTCTATCATACTTGGCTTTTTTTGCTAAACTACAAATTTATTTGCTTCTTTAGCTAAACTACAAATTAAATTTGGTTTATCAACGTTTAAAGTATGCCTTTGTTTAGTCAAATGTAAATTTTCTAATACCTACTTAAAAAGCATACATCTTTACTTTTCTTTTTTTATCAACTCTCAAAAATATAGAAACATAGTATTTTTTTATAAGGGTGTAGAAACCTCTCCCTCCAAGACCATACAAATTTGGACAATTACAAATGACATTGTAAACGTGAAGGGTTAGGATGAGAATGGAAAAGGATAGTTTGGGAATGCGTCCTCCACATGGCCCATATGTTTGTTTAGAATATAGTACATTTTTGTTGATGTGTGGCTTCTTGGATTCTCTGTATCCCATCAAAATCTCATCTCAGACCCATCACATGTCTCTTGTCTTATGCCTTCCTACACAGACATAGACGTTATTGTTTTCGGCTTGTGGGGGCTTTCCTTTATTTTCTTGCACACTATGCATTTGCATGCACCTCGCCGGAATTTCTGAAACCCCCTCTTCTTCTCTACAAGCTAAACCCAGAATCTCAATGCCCAGAGCTTGACCCATCTGGGTTTGGTCTTAATTGACCCAGTTGTTGCAGTGGCTCATGATGCAAATGATTAGAACAGCACCGCAGTTTGAGTTTGAGCTCCGAAATCAACTTGATTAGCATGAAAAGGGAAGCAAGAAGTGCAAGAGTGTCAGGGGTTAGGAGGAGTGGAGGGTATGATTTAAGAGGATTGGGAAAGCTGAAAGGTGTCTAGTTCCGAAGAGACAGGGGGGCGGGGCCATCCAAACTCGATTTACATTGTAATGTGTTGTGCGATTAAACTAATGGAGTTGAAGGGTTTTCACGTGCTAATGGCGACCTTTGCGGCTATTTCAAACTTGATTCTTACTTTTTAGGCGGTGGGTTCAATTCATTGCGGCCACTGAGGCGAGGGGAGGCGAGGCGAGGCGAGGCGGCTAGGGAGGGAGCTTGGCGAATCTAGGGAATCATGTTCTTGTTTTCCCAACTTTGAAAAACTTTCACAATCTAACAATTTTGTCAAACTCGATCACTTTTCTGTCCCCTCACCTTTTCAAATGGATGGAATGGATCGTGGGCCTTGTTGGCTGGGCCAAGCCCAACCCATTATCAAATGGGCTGATCGACACCAAAACCCAAACCGGCCCTTCTCGCTAGCCTACTGATTAATGTATAAAGAACAGTTTATTAATTAAAAAAAAAAAAAAAGAATTATGTGGACTGTCATGATTTATGGTCAAATTGATGATCTGTTTCGCGCTGTGTCAGTTTTGTTGGCGGCGAATGCGCAGAACATCGTGGAGGCAGAGGGCGTTTCCAGTTGCCACGTCTGTTTCCAGTCATTGCCCTTTCCCAATTCCCTCCGCCTCATTTCCCCGTTCTCTCTTGCTTCGTTTCAATCGTCCCCATAATCTAACCTACCTATCGTCTTCTTTACTCGGAAACCATGAATATTTTCAGGTTCGCCGGCGATATGACCCACTTGATCAGTATTTTAATTCTTCTTCTCAAAATGTATGCTACTAAATCCTGCTCGGGTAATTATCAGTGTCACCTCCCCTTTCCTTCCATTTTTTTTTTTCTATTTGGTTCTAGCATTGAGGAAGAGAAAATGGTACGAAGAATTTGGAAACAAGCAGTGTGGGTCTCCCTGTATTCTTTTAGTTTATGTCTCATTGGTGGATAAATGGAAATGGGATTCTGATATCGACTTCTTGAAGCAGGGCTTTAGTCAGTTCAGCTTCCGGATGGTGTTATAACTGGTCAATTGAATTTTAACTTTTGAAATGAAGTTTTGGTACTTTTTGCGCTGATGATTGGAGCATTAGGGCTTTTTTGCCCCCCCTTAGTTTTCGAGATAACTAGGTTCAAAATTAATACTTTACCGAGTTGATTTTTGTGAGTCGGATATAGGTAGTTTAGAGAGACCCTTCATCTTAATTGGAATATGAATGTGGAACTGATATTAAAAAATTTTATTTTGAAGGAATTTCTCTCAAGACTCAGGAGCTGTATGCCATTGTTTTTCTGGCCCGGTATTTGGATCTATTCACGGATTTCATATCTATCTATAACACTGTGATGAAGCTGATTTTTATAGCAAGCTCTCTGGCAATTGTTTGGTGTATGAGGCTGCATCCAACCGTGAGGCGGTCATATGATAAAGTTCTTGACACTTTTCGTCATTATTTTCTTGTTGCTGCATGTTTCATTCTCGCCCTTTTAGTGAACGAGAAGTTTGGGTTTCAAGAGGTGAGACATTTTTAATATAAATGATTTTAGTTTGCGTTTGATGGTTTCAGGGTAGGCATTGGCAATATACATAGTTATCGATTCCGTTTCGTACAATTGATGAGCCTAATCAGTTCATTTTTTCCACATTTCATCCCAATTAGGCAATTTCCATATGTAATTAAAACCAAGATGATAATCTGTTCCCTAACTGCAAAAGTTCATAAATTGGATTTGGCACTAGAGCATCACTGGAAACTCTCCTGGTCAAAAAATCATGAGCAGTTTTCTATCGCGGTGCATTCCTTACCCAAGTGTGATTAGGTCTTAACTATTGTCACGAAATATTTGCGTCCCCTTAACGAACAATTCGAAGAGGTCCTGCAGAAACATAAGCGTCGAAACTAAAATTTTTGCAATGTAGTTTTATCATTTCCTATTACCCGTTTGCCATGTTACCTTCATAGACATGATGATTTCACTTTTGTTGATACTTGTTAGAAATGCTATATTTTATCATTTTATTACTGTATAAATAATCCACATTGTTACTCTGATCCAATCCCCATTTAGGGTTTCCCATGTACTTTCTAAATGAGCAAGGATATGATGCAATAGAAAATGATATTGTTGAACTTTTTTTGCTCCAGATCTTTTGGGCGTTTTCAATATACATGGAGGCCGTAGCAATTCTTCCTCAATTAGTTTTATTGCAACGAAGTGGGAATGTGGACAATTTAACCAGTCATTATGTCTTCTTTCTTGGGTTCGTATATTTCCCTTTACGGTTGTTGCTGCTTTATGGAAGGATTACGTTCTTGCTTTCATAACCTCATCATCTTTAAAGGAATATGATCACTCACTCTTTTTCCATTTCTGCTGCTGTTCGTATTAGATATAGTCGTATCCCTTAGAGCTATGACCAATCAAAACAATAAATTTTCTAATTGGCATATATAAATGGGTTTTTAGATTCACATGGACAAGGATTTGGGTCAATTGCTGCCCTGAAAATTTATAGATTTCTTTAAGTAGACTCCTAGAAAAGGGTCAAAAACTTTTGGATGCATTAGCATTATGACACTTATTCCTAATGGTTTATGAAAAATCCTTCATGTATGATGTCAATGGACTAAACAGCCATGCATTATACATCCAATATATTCTTCAAGAAAATCTTACATGTTTGTCATGAATTTATGATTGTTTCCGGCCATTTTATCATGGAGAAGGTTTTGACAAGTGGTTTGCAGATGAAATTTGTATAGATATTACAGATACAATTCCTGTTGATCTTCTTGGGAAGAAGCTCTTACTTGAGCTTAAATCCAAGCTTCTTCTTGTTGTACCCTCTCGTCATTGTTTTGCAAAAACAGTTCTTCTGATTGGAACTAAAATCATTCTGCAGAGCTTATCGTGCACTCTACATCCTCAACTGGATCTACCGATACTTCACATACACACACTTCAATCGGTGGATAGGTAAAGATTTGGGTTGGTCTTGGTCACACAAACTCTCAGTTGTTATCATTAGATGTCTTACATGATGTTTTGTTTCTTGTAGCTTTCAACGCTGGCCTGGTTCAGACAGCTTTATATGCTGATTTTTTTTACTACTACTACATTAGGTGATTGAAGCAAACTCCTAGGGTATTGTTTTTGTTTTCTTATACACTGCTGTATCATATCGTGTGATAATTCCTTTTTTTTAATCTACCTTTTGCAGCTGGAGAAACAATGCGAAGCTTCGGTTGCCAGCTTGATTAGATCTGGGTTCAGGGTATGATATTATGGAGCTTGAGATCCAGCAAAGCTTTTACATGGTAGGTAAACTTGGCTTGGGAGTAGGGATAGAACACCTAACTTCAATCATCACAAACTCCTTTGTTTCTGTGTAGGGTACCACGGGTGGGTTCATGATGGAAACTGACATTTTGTAGGGACTCTTTGATTAACCTTGTTCATAGGTAATATAGTTTCTGAGGTTAGGTTGCTTTTCTTCATTTCTAACTTGTAAGGATTTCCTTGGGAAGACAAACTTCAAGATTATATAAGCTGATGCCATTCTCTAGTTCCTAAGTTCATTGCCAAGGAAACCACTTTCCCATTGTCACAGAGAACAAATTTGAAGTTGATTTTTGTTACGCTACTAATAGATATCAATTGAAATATGGTTTTAGTTTTAGTTTTCGATTAATTGTAGTAAATTCAACATTGAGTTCTTAGCATCCTCCTCTGTCATTGTTGTGATCAAATTTGAAGCTGAGTACTCATTTGGCAAACGTGGTCTTTGTGTTTGTTGACAACTTTGAAGTTAATTATTAGTAAATTTTTGGTAGTGTTGTACAATGTATAAGGGTTGGCTGAAACAATGTAAAACACATCGATGTTTTGTACGGTATAGCAGAGCTATCTACGAAACTTTGCCTTTTCCCTTTAGTTGCAGTACAATAGCTCGTCACTAATGTTATTCAAGAAGTCTCTGACGGTTTCTGAATTTTCTTTTTCAACTTCGTTGTGCTTCACAGTGTATCATTGGACAACTCTCATACTTTAAACTGCAGCTACCGCTTATCAAAGCCAAAGAAGAATCAGTATGTCTGATCTGAAGATAAGGCTGATTTAGGTGTATCGGAGGAAGAACATCTAGAGATAAACGAATCAGAGTCATTTTGTGTTCTGAAAAGAGAGAGTTTCTGTAAAAGACAACTTTGAATTTTGAAATGGTTGGATGTATAGTGAAATGTAAGGTTTGTTGAACTGAACTAATGGTCATGCCTACTAAGGAGGGCTATTCTACTACATTTGAGTTTCTTTTTTTGCAGTTCAAGTTAGTGGTATGGGAAGTGAAGGCTATGAATCGAGTCTTCTGAGGTGAAAGTTGTGAAGACCCCCACTGGTTAAAGCAAAGAGCAGAGGCCTACCAAAGTGCGTTGCCAATCCCAAAAAGCTTCACCGTTCTTCTCAATTCATGATTGCAAGTATGAATCCCTTTTCAAGTTTTCAACCCCAGGCCAGTCCTTGCCTTGCTTTGAATCCTGTTCCACTACTTTCAAATTTCTGTCTTCTCTTTGTCATTTTTTAACAACTATTAGTTTGGAATTGAGGAAAGGGTTCAACTAAAGAAGAATAACCAGAAAAGCTAAATAGGGAAAGGCCAAAAAGAGCCAAATATTAAAACTTTTGGCTTGTCTGTGTCTGCATGTGAATGTAAATTGATGTCACCGATGGATTGAAGCATGCTTAGTGCCTTCATTATAATCATTAAAGGATGTCTTATTTAACAAATACAAAGATTAGAAGGAATATTGTGGGAGAATGTATGATTGATTGATAAGTTAAGAGAAGAAGCAAACATTGTGGTGTCCGCCATTGGAAGTTAGCTGAGTTTAGTGCACTAAGTTTGTCTCATTTGTGTCGGAACTATGGAGCGTGAGGGAGGACATAGTTGGCCATCGACAACCCTCTTAATGAAGACTCCTCATTTTTTCACTTTGCATATTAATTCCCCCTCCTTCACTCCACTGCCTTTTTACTTAACCAGATTCATTTTCTACCCAAACCACTCATTGTTATCATTTTAGAAGGAAGCTTCTTTTATGTAAGCTGGTTGAGACTCTTATTAACCACTAAAAGAACGGATCGAGATACATATTCCGACCAGTGCCTTGCATTGTCCAATGACTAAAATTGGTTCCATGATTTGATCACAGCCGAAGCTCATCGATCACTTTACAAGCATAGACTTCACAAATATTTGTAATAATATGACCTCCAGGCTGAGGCTGTAAATATTCTTGAAACCATATTATTAAACTGAGCTTGAGGAGCAGCCTTTCTTCAAATTGAAGCAGAGTCGCTTCATGGAAAATCAGAGTATTATTAAGTACCTGTACTCATCCTCTGTAACTGCGTTGCAATCTTGACAGTGCTGCTGCAATGGCAATGGCTTCCTTTTCCTTTTCTTTTCCTCTCACCTGCGCTTTAAATCCTTGCTTTATTAGAGCCGGACCTCCATTTCCGGCCTTAATCTAAGACACGGTCAAAGTTTTCGCTTTTGCTTTTTGCAAAGAAAATTCGGCTCTGCCCTTTAGCTCTTTTACTACTTCCTCTGTTTTCCTCTGCCAATCACCAAAGCTTCCACCATTGGAACCTCTCACCCTCTTATGAGTTCAATATAGCTCTCTTTTTGAGTGTGAGCGTGTGTTCTTTTTTTCTTATGGAAACGATCAAACCCAAATCATGTGTGAAGAGCAAGACGAGATTCGCCAGGACATTTCAGAAGGTAATCAATCTCAGGAACGCGAAAAGGATCGCGTCCAGTAATGGCATCTGTGTTCTGGTTTCCCACAACAAGTTCAAAGAAGATTCCGGTATTCATGGAGGAAAATCCCAAGTCTTCGAGAGAAGTGAAGAAGATGTCAAAGCTCGAAACAGGGCAGTCATGGAAGCTCTGGTTGCGAAGCTTTTTGCAAGCGTTACTTCAATCAAAGCAGCTTACGCCGAGCTTCAAATGGCACAGAGTCCTTACAACAGCGACGCAATTCAAGCTGCAGACCAAGCGGTGGTGGACGAATTAAAGGTCATTTCAGAGTTGAAACGAAGCTTCTTAAAGAAAGAACTCGATCTCTCACCCCAGGTGACGTTAATGCTCTCGGAGATTCAAGAACAGCAAAGTTTGATGAAAACCTACGAAATTACGATTAAGAAAATGCAGGCTGAATCGGAGCATAAGAATGTCGACATTGTCTCGTTGAAGAAAAAACTTGGTGAATTACTTTCGTTCAACAAGTCGTTGGAGAAGAAGCTGGATGCAAGTGGCTCTTTATCCATGTTTGATAATCTTCAATTTCCGGTTTTGAATCCGACCCACTTTGCCCAATTCCTCCATTATACCGTAAGATCCATCAGAAATTTCGTGAAATTGATGATCCGCGAAATGGAATCAGCAAGCTGGGACCTCAACGCGGCCATCGAATGCATCGTCGGTTCGGACACCGAATTCCCAGAGCCAACCCATCGAAGCTTCGCTTTCGAATCGTTCGTCTGCAAAACAATGTTCGAAGGTTTTACAACCGACACAAATTTCATACTCCAAAACGATTCCCTACCTCTCGATGAGCAGCAAAACCACCAAATGTTCGATAAATTCAAGAAGCTCAAACCAGTAAATCCAAAAATATTCATATCTCAAAACCCCAACTCCTCATTCGCTAAATTCACCCGCTCCAAGTACCTCCAACTCGTCCACGCGAAAATGGAGTGCTCGCTCTTCGGAAATCTAAACCAGCGGAAAATCATAAACTCCGGCGGCGTTCCCGACACGACGTTCTACGCCGCCTTCGCCGAGATGTCGAAGCGCGTTTGGCTTCTGCGATGTTTGGCATTTTCACTTCACAACGATGTTACGATCTTCCAAGTGAGGAAGAAAAGCAGATTCTCAGAAGTTTACATGCAATGCGTTACCGAAGAAATATTGTTTTCTCCGGCGGACATGAATGATTCCACCGTAGGATCCGGGTCGGAGCCCCGAGTTCGGTTTACCGTCGTTCCGGGTTTCAAGATTGGAGAAACGGTGGTACAGAGTCGGGTTTATTTATCGCCGCCAAGACGCTAAAGTCGATGGCGGGTAGGAACTCGGAACGAAGGAGATGGACTGTTCGGAAAATCTCAGCCGTTAGGTTTAAGCTTCCATGACCGTTAGATCAGAATTGATGCAGCGAACTGTAAACTATTTTGAATTTTTTCAATGAATTGTATAAATATCTGTATTGTAATATACAGTCAGACATATGATATTAATATATATATTTAATCTTAAAGTAAGGTCCTTACCATAGAACATGATGATATTATTGAAAAATAAATAAATGAACTAATTCTGAACAACACTATCATGACTTCTTCTTTTTCTTTTGAATTAAGTGTTCCCAACCTATCTTCTTTTTATACTAAATAATTTGTTGGATTTTTTCGGAGAAGTTTATGATCTCACAATCTACTCTCTTGGAAGCATAGCATCTTTGATAGCCACATCGTTCGGAATATGACTCTAATACCATTTGTAATAGCCTAAGCTCACCGTTAGGACATATTATCCTTTTTGAGCTTTCTCTTACGGGCTTTCCCTCAAAGTTTTAAACGATTGTTTCGTTTCCCTTTCCAACCAATATAAGACCTTAGTGTTCTTAGCTCAAACAAAGAAAAGGCTCATACTACAACATACCCGATGCTTAGAATCCATGTCAGCAAAACACATTCTTATTAACAAAAATGTAGTGCAAATCTTAGCAAAATATAGGAAATTTACAGATTTCTTGTGAGCAAAATGAAAACGGTTCAAGTAACAACATTGAGAAAACAAATGCACTCAAGAATTTAACAAGAAAAAGGACAAAGGACATCATTTATGTTGTCCATTTTTGGTACAGTTTTCAGAACAAAATGAGTTCAGGCTTCTTCTGTTTCTGACTTTCTAATCGAACTCTGATCATCATCCCACCACCCAAAGATTTAGTATGGAATCAAACGAAAGGTTGTGAGATAACAACTCCCTGGGGACTGCCAACTTCAAACCAGCGTGTAAATATCAATGGCTGTGCCTCAAATTATATTCACAAATCATTCAGCCATCTTCCTCTCTGTTGTTTCTGTTACATCCTCCCAAGTCAATCAAGTCAGTCAGTCCATATAAATTCCATTCCATCCCCATCCGAGTCCCCAATGCCAAGACTGAATGCTTCCCCCTATTTCATACTTTTGCATCCCACTTGTATATATCAAGCCATTTCCATTTCCAACAAGCCGAAAATGAATACGATACTAATCACCAGCCAGCGAGGTCAGTTTCATCACTCGCTTAGGAGGAGAAGAGACTGCAGGACGTTATACTACGCCACCATGGAGCAAATATGTCAAGGGGATTCTGGAGGAGAAGAAATGTCAGAAACTTCTGCAAGGGCTTCAAGCATGTTTATGACCTCAGTTGTGTCATCCAAGTAATACTTGGCCTTGCTTGGTTTCTGTCCGACTGTGCAGGCAAAAACTAATGTATTGGAAGAGAGGACGCCACTTGAGACTGCATGACCAATGATCTCAAACATGTCTTCATCAGATCTATCATCACCAATGCATAGCACAAAATCAGCTCGTCTGCCTGCGTCCGTCATTGACGTGAAGATCTTTTCTGCCACCAAACCTTTACTGACTCCCTAAAAGTAATAATACATATTTGAATCAGTCTTCAGAGACTCTTAATGAGCGAGAGAACTTGTTTCTATCTTCCCAAAAAAATTCAGGAACAACTCAATTGGCGTTATTTTAGAAACTTAAAGTAGAAGAAATACCTGTGGCTTCACTTCTACAATAAACTGACCACTTTTTACAGCGACTGGTTCATTTGCCAGCACACTTTCAAGGTGATCCAACAGTTCCTTGGCCTGACTGCAACCAAAATCAGGGTCTGCATCCCGGTGGTGCCACACCAAGGCACTTTCCTTGGTTTCAATAGAAGAGCCGTCAGTTGCTTCTGTATATAATTTCATGACTGGCTCTGCGATCTGTATCCAGCCAAAATCACTACCTTGACCACAGTTTTCCCAGTCCTTATCAGCAGACCACCTGATAAATTCCAAGATTCAAACAACTGCTGTATATCTAAATACAAAAATGAAAAGGAAAATAGATGGAAGAACAATTCCTTTTTTTTTTTTTTTTTTTTTTGGGGGGGGGGGGGGGGGGGGGGGGGGGGGGGGGGGGGGGGNGGGGGGGGGGGGAGGAGAAAAAAAGAACCAAACCTCATAAAGTAGCCATGCTCGGCAGCAATTCCAAGTTTATTGCAAGAAGAAAACCAGTTGCCCAAACTTTCACGCCCTCTTCCACTGACAACAAAAACGGTATTCCTAACATCATCGCAAAGAGAATCTATGATTGAAATAACTTGACGACTTGGGGCCTTATCAATTGATGTTTGTGGCATGACAGTGCCGTCATAATCCAAAAGTATGGCCCTCCTTTTCGACCTCGAATATGCAGCTACAATGGCATCAATAGACAACTTTCTAAAGTTGGGATCAAGTGCTACAACTCTGAAGCCAAAGCCCAACCCAATTCCCCAGCACCGTCGTCTGAAGTGATCCTTACAAGTTCTTTCCATATCTTGGAAAAAACTCTTTGACCAGTACGCCACATCATGTGTACTCACATATTTATAATGCTTTTCATGGCGCAATTGCTTTTCAGCATCAGCCATTGATATTGCCTCATTCAATGCTTCAGCAGTAGCTTCGATGTTCCATGGGTTAACCCGTATAGCACCACTAAGAGAAGGGGAACATCCCATGAACTCTGATATCACTAGCATGCTCTTCTGTGGCCCATTTGATTCTGAACTATAATCTGATCCAGAGGTTCCCTGCCTGCAGACAACGTACTCATAAGGTGTTAGATTCATCCCATCCCTCACCGCTGTGACTACAACACATTCGGCAACCGTGTAATATGCAGCTCTTTCAGTGAGAGAAACAGGCCGATCAATGAACACAATAGGCTCATAATTTGTCTGTCCAAAACTTTCATTAATTCTCTTACAGCATTCCTGTATTTCCTCTCGTATTTCCTCAAGATCTTTCCCCTTTCCTCTAGCTGGGTTTGCAATCTGTATGAAAACGGCTCTTCCCTGCCACTTTGGATGTTGCCTTAGCATTTGTTCCATTGCCAACAACTTCAGATTGACCCCTTTGAAAATGTCCATATCATCAACTCCAAGTAACACAACTTTCCCTTCAAACTGCCGCTTGAGCTCCTGTACCCTCCAGTCTTTATCAGCAAGTCTTAACACTGACTCCATCTGGCCCATGTGAATTCCAACAGGCATGATCTTTATCCCCACAGTCCTTCCAAAATATTCCAACCCAATATAACCCCTCTTTGACTGATATTCCAAACCCAACATCCGACTACAACAAGACAAGAAATGTCGAGCATAGTCGAAAGTGTGAAAACCAATAAGGTCAGCATTCAAAAGTGCCTTAAGAATCTCTTCCCTCACTGGTAAAGTTCTATATATTTCTGAGGAAGGAAATGGACTGTGAAGAAAAAAACCCATCCTCAATCTTGTAAACCTTCGCCTCAAGAAGGAAGGCAGCACCATTAAATGGTAATCATGAATCCATACAAAGTCATCATCTGGGTTTATGACCTCAATCACCCTTTGGGAAAAAATTTTATTTGCTGCAACATACGCCTCCCACAGAGACCGATCAAACCGACCACCATGAGTTGCAGAGTACGGAAGCATGTAATGGAATAGTGGCCACAGTTGCTGCTTACAAAAACCATGATAAAATTTTGATAAAATTGCCTGAGGCAAAAACGCAGGAACACACTTAAACCTCTCCAACAAAAGCTGGGAGACATCATCTTGTTCGGATGAATCAACATCCACCCGCAAAGATCCTACATACAAAACCTCCATATCTTCAGGTAAACCATCCTTGAGCTGCCACAGCAAAGAGTCTTCATCCCAACTAAAACTCCAGCCTATATCGTCCGGTCTACGCTTAGCTTTAATAGGAAGCTGATTGGCTACAATAATTATACGGTCTTGCACAACTGACGAAGGTCCCTCAGAAGTCACACTATTTGCCTGCTCATCATCAAGCTCTGATATTACCCCCGTAACAGTCATTACGCGTGGAAGTCGCTTCTTCTCACGACCCATGATGGGAAAATTCCCAGATGCTAAATCTAAAAGATTGGTATACGATTTGGACATCATCTTTACTGACCTAATAAAAATTTCCAACTCAAAAAAGCTTGACAAAGAATCTCAAGAGAGTATTCACAAAACACAAGACGAGTTTCCTCCTTCTTCAATGTCTAAAATTAGGCAAGATCTGCAACGGGGATCGCATAAAGAGCAGAGCGTCACAACAAAGACCAAGTACAAATTTCACATGAAAATCGCACACCCAAAGTATCAAGAACTTATAAGCATCAATTAAAAGATACACAAAATTAGAACATGATCCACCTAAATCCTTCCGAAATACCAAAAACGGGGAGTCTGATAAAGCTGAACAGGAAAATAAGTAGAGAACAGAAATTAAGTGCAAGGTAGAGATGAAGATGCAAAAATGATTACCAGGAAGACGCAAAAAATGAATAGTAAGCAGCGGGAAGAACGATTGTTGGGGGTCGGATCTGAAATTGGAGTGAATAAATGAACAAATTTGGAACTTAGGACTGAAAAATCTAGGGTTTGGTTTTGGTCTCTCTCTCCAAGCCAAAGAGTCGCAGTACGGCCTCTCCCTTTCCTCTACCTTTTCTTTGCTCTAAACAATTCCCAAATTGCAATCTTTTTCCTCTCTGGAAAAAAATTATTTATATAATACCAAACAAAAAAGAAAATAAAAAAAGAAGAGGATAAGGTCGCCCAATAGACTACCCAGTAATGCCAACTGGCTATGACCAAGGTTCAGTCCCACGCGCTCCCAGTTGCCGCTGCTGGAGCAATCGCTACGTGTCGGGTGGTGGAAGTAGCCACGTCAGAGAACCATAGCGAAAGGAGAGGAAATCGGGTGCGGCGAGGAGCAGGGGAAGAGGGTGATCCTGATGACTGAAAATGGAACGGGGTCTGGAGTTTGATACGGGCACGTGCTCGATAAGGGCGCCGCGTGAGGAGTTTAGAAACGGGAGTGGTCCAGGGGCGTACCTGAGTGGCCGCAGGTGGGGACAGGCAAGTCAGGTTTCGGTCACGAGGTTGGTCCACGTGGACAGCGAGAATAGGCGTGTTTCGGATGAGGAGG